AACTTGTATATTTTCGTAAAAATATAATTGTTACAAATTTGTTTTGAAAATAAATTACAAATAAATAATTATTTATTATAATAAAAGTTTTCGCAATACCCAAGTGCAAGTTTCACAAAAACTCACATTTTACGAATACAAATAGTATACAAGGTGATTATAATGTTTCGGTGTAAATGAACGTGTTTTTTGTTGTTTTTTTTTTAAGAATAAAGTAATTGTTTAAATCGTGGTGTTACTTTTTGTGGTCCAGACAAAAAAATAAAACACCAACAATTTAAACTAAACGAAATTGTTGATAATGCACATGAATTTATGTCTCAATATTTGTGTGTTTGTTGTAAAAAAGGCTAAAAATATTCATATTTAAAAATCAACAGCTGTTGTTGGTTAAAATACCGAAAAGTACGTGTATTTACTCGTGTGTTACACTTGTTCGTAATATGCCCAGTGTACTCCCATACATTTGCACATGTTTTAAAGTAATTACAGTACGAAGGCAATCGAAAAAAGTCTTTTGAAATTTATGATTTTAAGAATCGGCCTAATATGTACAAATGTTTTCTAAAACTGTATATTATTAGTCACTATAAATGTATGTCATAAATATGCACCTACACATATAAAATTCTGGAAAAAATATTTAAAGTCATAATATCCCAGAAACCTAAAAAGAATTTAGAATCAAAATTTTCTAATTAGCAATTGAAAGATTATCCTTGTTTACAAGGATGAACATAACCTCTTGTCTAAATTAGATACATTTTTATTATGCTAAACGTCAAACGTCATGATAAAAAAATTCAGCAGGTTCAGACGACATTTATTAGCGTTGAGCATCGTTATGACAAATTTGTTAACAGGAGTTTAGACAACATTGTCTTCATAATAAACGTCATTTTAATGTAAAATTTGTATAGACATTTTTTACGGAATTAAAATTGACTTTTAACATATGTAAGTTTTAGTGAAATTATCGTTAATTTACAAAATATGCATTTATTTTTATTTTCCTTAAAATTATCTGTGATTTATAGTGATAAAAGCATCATTTTGTTTCCCCTATGTATTGACATAAATAATGTTTTGCCGATGTTTTGTTAACACGGGATAAAAGACTAGATGTGCCCCAGTAGAAGAATTGGTTTCGACTTTTTTAGAATTTTATCGGCCTGTATTATTACCCGATCGGGAAAAAGTTTCGCTATTAGTGATGTACACAACTTTTTAAATCTTTTCCCGATATGAATTGATTTTCGGAAGTAGACCTTATATGGACAATTACCGGAAGTAAATTTTTTATTGGACATATTAAAATTTTAAAGCGTTTGTAATAATTTTCTACCAAGTTAATACCTGGTCAAAAGAGAAGACTTGAAGAATATTTTGAAATAGCTGCTAGGTTTCTGAAAAACTAATCAATAATGAGAAAAAAGTAATATCAGGTGATTTTTAGAATTTAGATCATATCTCCGTTATTTATGGGCTGATTTTAAATAGCGATATTCTTGAAGATGATAGTAGATTCAGATCTCGCAGGTATCTGGAGATCTTCTGAAAACCGATTTCAATATATATACGGCTAAATAAATTTCGGAAAATTATTTTGTAGAATTTTGGCTTTTTGTTTTCAAATGACTTATCACATTGGTCTCGCATGAAGATACATACATACGTATGTTTGGAGAGTGTTTTGCAGGACATTCACATTTTGGGGATACAATTCCTACTTACCTTATCAAACTCAAATAATTACAAAATATTCGCACAAACAGACTCGTTTATAGAGAATAGTGTGTTATGATTATGTATGTAAGTATGTATGTACACATATCCCTTAGTTAGTCAGACTGAATGTAAACGCAAGTCACAAGTGAGGAGAAGTAATAACGTATGTTAGCAGCAGACAAAATTCAAGGGTTAATAAAGGTTTTTAACCTGTTTCATGGTAGTAAATATAACAAAAACCAAATATAAAAAAACAACAAAAAGTATGACTGTATTTTACACATTTTATTTATTTAATTGAAACAAACAAACAATTGACAATGTAACAAAGTAAAAATATGTACATACATATTTATTACCTACATACATACAAGCATACCACTGTATGTATGTATGTATATTTGCATTTATTTTGACAAAAATAAATATTTTTATTAATGATATTGTTTCTGTTGTAATTTCGACTTGGAAACTTGTTAATATAAAGTTTACTACTAAATTACTTACCCTTCCTGTCGATCGGTTATTGACATTTGTATGTCAAATTTTTATACAATTCAATTGCGTTGCATACAAATAAGATGAATAAGAAAGAATAAAACTCCTAAAACAGTCGTGTGCAAAATGTGTCAAGACAAACTTCATGTTAAAATATCATTTGAATTAATTTATAACAAATTGTGTATTAACACATGGCGTATATTGTACATATTTCGAAATAAACAATTTTACAAAATTTATCTGTAGATTTTCTACATAGTACAAACATAGATATCGTCAACTAAAACGCAAACGGCCCTATCTAACAACTTTAAAATATTACAGGAAAAACAAAAAACTACTTAAATTGAAAATTTAGTTTCTATTAGCGCGATTTAATTTTATTAAATAAACAATTTGTTATGACAATGGCGCATTTAAAATTGGATAAATTGGACTTTTTACCTACATATAATAATTAAATGTTTTTGTAGATAGGGCCTCTTGTTTTTTATACCCTTCACTTTCGTGAGAAGGGTATATATAAAAGTTTGTCATTCTGTTTGTAATTTCTATAATATAATTTTCCGACCCTATAAAGTATATATATTTTGGATCCTTATAGATAGCGGAGTCGATTTAGCCAAGTCCGTCTGTGTGTGTATGTTTCAGTTTTCAGAAGGCCTCAGATATCTGCGAGATCCGAATTTTCAATAATTCTATTAGAAATACGATCGAATAGAACGCTATTTAAAATCAGCCCAATCGGTCCATAAATAACGAAGATATGAGTAAAAATCCGAGACCACCTCTGAAAATTTCATCAAAAATTTACTTTTTTCGTGCATGCTTATACAAAAAATAAACAAACAAAAACAACACACAGTATCAAACTGTAAATTTTTTTGTTATTGTGATTTCTTGTTTATAAACACAAAGCAAAGAATGAACATTACGTTACGTTACGTTGTTATTGGCTAGAAACAAAGAATAATGCTAGAAATATGAAATTAAGTATGTAGCCTGGATTAAGCGAGAACACATTAAAGTGGACTTTTTGGTACTGTTTCGTTTTAAAAAAGGTACTTTTTGAATTTTCTATAATATTGAACCTAATAACATGAAATTAAGTATGTAGAGGCCGGATTAGGCGAGAACACATAAAAGGGGACTTTTTGAAACTTTTTCGTTCTACAAAAGGTACTTTTTGAAATTTCTATAATATTGAACCTATAAACATGAAATTAAGTATGTAGAGTCTGGATTAAGTGAGAACCCATAAAAGGGGACTTTTTGGTACCTTACCGTTTTGCAATTTGTATTTTTTGTAATAAAATTCATACTGACTGTTTTTTAACACACCATGGTGAAGGGTATATAAGATTCGGCACAGCCGAATAAAGAACTCTTACTTGTTTGTTAATAAAATCGCTTATTTTGGTCGAAGGAGTCCAAATTTTTTGGTGGACATTTGTATTGATACAAAAACAATAAAATAGATTTTGAATTTTTGGTTAGTTAGGTCCGTTTACGTTTCAGGTGACGATATGTATGTATAATATACTCCTGAAACCTATTTTCGTCGCAATTTGGAACCGTAGTTCCTGAGTTTTAGAAATGATTTTCACATTATATAAAACCAGAACAAAATCTAATCAAATAAAGAAAAGACGAACGTTTTTTTTTTGCAATAATTTTTAATACTTTTATTTATTTTTTTGTTGTTTTTTTAATTTTTATGCAGAATTTTTCTTGTATTGTAAATATTATTTTATTTTTGTTGTTTTTTTTTGTTTTTTATATTTTGTATAATAATTATGATAAAAATTAATTAAACATTATGCAGTTTGTTTTGTTTTACACTAAAAACTATAATTTATTTAATGCGTATTTTATATATACATACATATGTAAATGTATATACAAGTATTAAAAAAAGAAAACATAATAATAATTATAATTATGAAAAAAAAATTAAATTGTTATAAAAATTAATAATAATAAAACAAAAATAGTACTACAATTATTTATATGTATAAGTAATTATTATAATATATTTATACATATTTTTGTAAGTATGTACATTTGTTTGTAAGTTAGTATTAGTGTGTATTTTTTGTATTTTTTATGTTTATATAAACTTGCTACTAATTTTAATAATTATAATAATTTTTTTTTTGTATTTTATTGTTTTTTTTTATAAAAAATGGACTTTAAATGAAAAACAAAAACTTAAAGATTTCAAATTTAAATTAAAGAAAAAAAAATTAAACAAATTTTAAATTGTTTTTTTAAAGGCAGCAACATAAATTCAACTAAATTTGTAGCGTTTTTAAACAAAAAAAGAAAAAAAAAATAATAACAATATATTTAAAACTGAAAATTATAAAAAATTTTACAAATTTGTTTTGTTTGTTTTTTTAATTTTATTTTTTTAAAGCATTATAAATTTTATGAATTCTTAAAAATTAATTTGATGTAAATTTTATACTACTTGTTTATTATTTATTGTTGTTTTTAATCAATAGTTTTTGTTATTTTTTTCAATTTTAGTTTGTGTCCAAAGTTAGTTTTTATAATATTTTTTGAGGGTTTTTTTTATGAGTTGTTTTTTTATATTTTTTTAAAGACTTAAAAATTATTTAACTTAAAATTACTATCACAGCCATATTTTGAAATTAAACAAATTCTAAATTCTTAATAAATTACTACTTGTTCAAAAAATTGTTTTTTTTATGTTTTTGTGTGTGTTTGTTTTGACCATAATTTGTTTTTTTTTATTTTCTATTTTGCAACAAAAATTTATTATTTATATTGAGGCTTTTAATTGTTACTTGTTGTTGTTTTGTTTGTTGGTTTTTGAATTACTCCAAATACTAATTGCACTTTTTTCAAAATGAACTTAAAATTTTATGTTGTTTTTTTTTTGTTAAAGAAAATACTGTTTTTTTTTTAATTTTTGTTAAGAGGTTTGTTTCACCCTAAAAAAAGGAGTAGACTTCAAAACACAAATTAATACAACACTGGGCTAAATTACCGTTTAGCGAGAAATAGTGACAGAGCCGTGTTTACACAGTTCATTTGTTTACAATGAATGATAAACAAGTCTAGTCTTTGTTTACATTAATTTCCTCTATGTTTACACTTTCTTTAAGGAAGTTTGTTAAATATCCTTTTTCATTAAGCTCGATCACTATACTCTCTCTTGGTTTCTTTCTATGTCTTTCAAAGTGAAATGTATTTGATTTGTTTAAAAATGTTTAAAAAAGTGAAACCTTTTTTTCTTAAAACGGTTATTTTTTTGTTGTTTGCTTGGGGGGTGACTAGGAAACTGGTGGATAATTTTCTTAAAAATTTTGAATTTTAATTAACAAGCTTTGACAGGAAGTAGATTTTTAATTTCATTAAGCCAGTTTCTTAAGAGTATTGTTTCTTGTTGTTTTAATATGTTTTTCTTTAGAAAATGTTTAATTTTCAATTTAGTTTTGTTGTTTTGACTATAAATTCTTTGATTATTAGTAAATAATTTTTAGATTTACAGAAAATTGTTTTTTTTTTTTTTTTTTTTTGTTTTGATGATTTTTTGTAGCAAATTTGAATATATATGTTTATATGAAGCATTAAATATTGTTTAACTAAATCTTTTATAACTTATATACAATATTTTATACTTAAATATTTATGTATAATAAAGTATTCATTCATTTCATTCATGTTTGTCATATACATGTAAAGTTGTAAGCATAAATGTTTATATATAGAAGCGTTTAAGTATATAATTTTAAGCTTTTTTTTACTACAATTTATAATAATTATTTAGTTTTTGTTTATATATAAATAGTAAAAAAATTTAAAGAAAATTAAACAGAATGTTTTTTTGTTTTTGTGTTTTAGGAAAAATATAGAAATTTATCTAACAAAAATTTAACTTAAATTCTAAAAAAACTTAAAAACTTAATTTTTTTTTTAAATTATTTTTGTTTGTCTGTCTGTGTGTTTGTTTGTTTTGTAAATTAAATTAACTATTTAAAACGAGTAGCAAATTAAATTTGCCTGTTGTTTGCTTTAATCTCTAGGGGTTCTTTTTAGTTAATTTGTAGAATTACTGGAACTTTCATGTTTCCAAAGATGTTACCACTAAATTATGGAAAACATTGGACGATTCACTTAACATGGCGGCCTGGCCACAAGAATCACTGCCCACACTAGGCGTGGGACTGGGTGAACCCAAACGTAAAGCATCCATTATGACCTCAAATTCCTTTTGATTTTGATTCAAATCAAAATCCAATTCCAAATCACTGCCCATTTTTTGTCTTTTCGGCGATAAACTGCCCACATTTACTATATCTAGAGGGCAGTCATCGATGGCCGATATCAAACGCTGGGGTGGTATGTAAAACTGTGATAAAGCCTCTCTCACCAAACGATCACTTTCATCCTCGCTGCGTTGACGTTTGCGTGATGAAATAGCTTTTTCCAGTTGTTCGGCTCCTTGGGTTATTTCGGGGTCTATGAGTGGCATGGGTGAGTTGATAGCACTTAATTCACGATCTAAAATTTCCAAGTCGTTATCAATGTTACTGGACATAAGAGGACGTTTGCGAGCAGGAGAGTTTGTCTGACAATTTGCCTCACTTTGATTGCTGCTGATTTGTTTCTCTCCCAACTGGGAGCAGGAGTCATGTGTGGAATTGTTAATACAGTTAGAGTTTTCAGTTTTTTCCATGGAATTGTTGTCATTATTTTGTGCTAATTGTTTGTGGGAAGGTTGATGATTGGAGTTGTCAATGCCGCAGCTATTGTAGGGATTGAAAATGTTATCTCTGGCCGATTCAGGTTTGGAGTCAGTTCTAAAAAGAGAAATAGAGAAAATAAAAAAGAAATTAGTTACAAATTTTTTATTGTTATTGTTTTTGTAAAAGCGAAAGTTTAATACGTAATTATTTGTAGTTGTTTTTTCTAGTGTGGTAATGAATTGTTTTTATGTATTTATTTATGTAGATATATTTGTTTAAATGTTTTATTTTTTTCTGTTAGTTTTGCTAAAGCTTTAAATCAATTTTCACTTGAGTGACCGACAAATATTAAAAACAAGAAATATAAACATATTTTTAAGTAAAAAAAGCTTTTTTTCAAACAAAAATTTAAAACTATAAAGAAAAACACTTAGAGCAGAAATTAAATAAAAATAATACGTATTTGAAAAAAGAAGCACGTATGAGTTGGTTTTAGAGTTTAAGCTTTTTTTTTTTTTCTTTTTAATGAAAGCTTTTATGTTTGAATTTATTTATTAATAATGTAAATTTTCAAATAAATAATTAAACAAGTTAACTAGTTTAAGGAAGTAAACTAGCAAATGTATGACATTCATACTTTAATTACGGACAATACCCTCCCAAAAAAAGAAATTCAAAACTTTAAATGTTTTTGAATTCATTTAACCTTGAACTACATACAATTTCGAACAAAAAAACCTTGAACTAAATACATTTTTTTATAATAAAAACAAACATTTTCTAACAGGACAACAAAACTGTTGTTTTCTTAAAAGGTTGAAAAACTTTTCAACAATTTTAGTTTTATTTTTGTAAAAAATATTTTTGTTTATTTTAAAAAATGGCATTGAATTTGTCTATTAAAATTAACTCACGTGTGGATTTTATTTCAAGAGAAATGTTGAAATAACAATTTTATTTAAATTAAAATTTTAACGGCCATACGGAATAAGTATGTATGTAAATGTTTTTCCACTTAATAATAAATATGAACCTACTAGCGCAAACAAACCAATGTCGTTTATTGACTTTAAAACATTAATAATTGTTAAAAAATTTGTAGTTAAAATTAATATTTCTAAAAAAACAAATTTTTTAATATTTTTATTTGTTTTTTAGCTGTTTAAAACCGCTAAAAAAATAAAACAAAATCATTTACTATTGACGTTGTTTGTGAACGTAAGACAGACGGACGGACGGACAGACAGACATTTAAACAAGTGTAAAAAAGATAAGCACGAAATGAAATGATTTTTATTTTTTTGTTATTTATTTACTTTTGTTGTTGTTATTCGTGTGTGTATGTGTTTTTGTTTCTTTTGTGGTTGATATTTTTTTATTGGGTTTTCTATGGTAGTCAGAGAGTTATACTCGTTGTATACTTAATAAGGTAAACGCGTGCTAAATAGAACCTTGACTTGCTTAGTTTTTTGTTGTTGTTACTAATCGTTAACCCATCAACACAATGAAAAAACTTCTATATTATTTTGGTTTTTTTATCAAAAATAATGTGTTAATGAACTTTTGGAAGTGTCAGTTTAAAAATTTAATTAATTTTTATCTAGATTATATTACTTGTTGGCATATTTTTAGCTAAAAATCTAAAACTCACAGTCACAGTTTAAACCTCACTCTCTTTTTCCTTATATGATAATTAAAAGAAATGTATTGAATTCCTTTTTCCCTTCCTCTCGCTTTTTAGACATTTGCTGTGATATTTATAAACCTAAACATTGAAATGTTTGTAAACCTTAGTTTCATTTCTTTCTCTCTCTCTCCCTTTCTAGTTTAAAGACGTTCCTTTGAAAGTTGATGGCAAATTCGAAATAACAAACATAACAATGACTTGAATTTGATGTTTTAGCAGAAAATTTTTGACTTATTAATAAAATCAAAACAAAATATTAAGCAGAAATTAACAATAAACAAAGGTAAACAAATCAAGACTCGCTCTATAGAAATTTCAGGTGACATTTTTTGAAGTAAACAATCAAAACTAAAAGTAAACAATGTTTCTCCCTACTCTGGCAACTTGCTGTAATGTTTATAAGTAAAAATCAAAACAAATCAATTAACTAAAAGCAAAACAATGTTGCCATACAAAGTGATTATTAGAGGGGAATTACAAAACAAAAATTTCCTGGTTTAAGGAAAAAACCCATAAACAAATTTAAATATTATTATAATATCTACAACAAATGAACTCATTACATTTAATAGGAAAAAAAAAACTAAACACATTTTTTCATTGAAAAATTTAGAACAATATTTTTTTTCTCTATTTTGCTTTTGTTTTCAAACCAAAATACGTAAAAAGAAGGCCAATGTTGTATTTGTGTGTTTGGAGTTGTTGTATAGATTATGTATGTAAACAAATAGTTTATGTATGTATTTATTTATTTACTTTTCATTTCAGTTTCTATTTTGCTATTTTTTTGACAAATAGCAACAGTCACATTAAGAGCAGCAGTGGCAACAGCAAAACTATAGAAAAAAAATCTATATAGAGAAACTCTTGACAAATCTATTACTAATAAACACTGAAAAGACCAAATCCCCCTCCCTCCCATAAACATTTTAATACTACAGCAATTTTTATTACAACTTTTTTTTTTTCTCTTTTCTCTGTTATGACACCCAAAACACACAAATCTAGTCAACCGCAAACTAAATCTAAAAAGCTTTAAATGATTTTGCATCCACTATGTGTCGGTCTACTCTACTCTACTACTAGTAATACTATGAATTCCGTTTTTATATATTTTTTTGCTTTTGCTTTTAGTTGTTTTGCTTTATAAATGGGTACGAGGTGTATAGTAAAAGTATGTTTGGTTTTTAGAAATATTTATTAGAAAATTTTAAACCTTTTTGTGCCTACCTCGTTGATGTTTTTTTACACTTTTTTTTGCAGTCACATTGATGTTAAAATTTTAAGTCAGAAGGGGGTAAACATTTGTATGAGAGTTATTTAGCTTGTGTGCCTTCCTTTACTTCCCCCCTTTCTCTCTTACAAAGCAAATGAGAAAAAACAAATAGTGTGAGCAGGCAGTGTGCTGCAACAAAGCAAGTACACTCGTGTTAACATACAGAGAAAAAATATTGTTGTCAGGCTTCCTTGTATTTGAAAATTTATGGCAATGCTTGGGCTGGCGGTGCTTTAAAAAAAAAACCCAAAAGAAAAAACAAATCATACAAGTGTAGAGTGCTTTACAGTGGCTTTTTTGTTGTATGTAATAAAGAAATATGTATGTAAGGAGGAGGAGGCAGAGAGGGGTGTAAACAAATCAAAAAAAAGCCCGTTTAATTCTATAAACTATAAGGTTCAGTTCAGTGTGTTTATATTATTTGAATGTGCTCTATCAAGGGGGAAAACAAATAAATAATAATAAAAAAAAGCTTTACACAAAAATTGCTATAAAATTCAAACATTTTTTTTAACATTCCCTTTTTTGTTTTTTGTATTGTTTCTCTGTTGATAGAGTATAAATGATATTTATTTGTTTGTTTGTTTAAGCAGGTTAAATACTGTTTTAATAGATAGCAAAAAAGAGCAAAATAATAATAAAAGACAAATGGAATTGATTTCCAAAATGAATAAATAGAAAACAAACAAAAAATTAAATTAAAATTAAAGTGTTTAAATTTTAACTAAATTATACAATTTAAAAGTTTTCCTTTAACAATTATTAACAGAATTTTTAAGACTGTTATAATTAAAGGCTTAACAGTAGTTTTTTTTTTTTAGAGAAAGAGCAAAAAAATAGAAAATATTTTTAAATCAGGTGGGGGCAGCAAGTGAGAGAGAGAGAGAAAGTTTAAATTTCAAAACATAACACGAGCAAAATAGAAAAATTTATAAAATAAGAGTGGAAAAAATGTGAGTGACTTAATGATGATTTTTTGTTGTTGTTTTGTTTATTTAATTTATTCATAAAGAGTGTATGTGTAAAAAACTGTCATTATTATTGTTATTGCTGGTTATTACATGTTGTGTTATGTTGTTTATTATTATTATTGTTTTTGTTAAGCTTTTTTGCTGTTTAATTTATAATGAACTTGTGACTTAGAAAAAAAAGAGAAATTATTAAGAAATCTGTTAAAGAAAATTAAGTTTTCTGGGGAATATTTAGAAACTACTTTAAAATTTATTATATATCATCAGACTTTTACAATTACTTTATTAGTTAAAGTAATGTATAGTCTACTTTAAGGCTTTTTTTGTAACAGGCAAAGGCAAGGTTGGCTTTCTTTGTGTGTGTGTATAAATGAATGTAGGTGGAAACGGATATATAAATAATGTTTAAGATTTAATATTTATTTACTGGCTAGTGAGTACACATTAAATGTTCATTCATTCTTCTTTTCCCCCCACAACATTTATTCAATTGCTTATTGACATCCTGTTGTGTGAGTAGTTCTGGAAACATATTTTCATTTCAGTAAAATGCCAAAGAGTATGCAATTTTTAAAGGCCAATATGTGGGTTGTTCAACAGAAAAGAAAAATGCCCACGTTTTATAAAAGGACATAACATTTAAAATACAAACATACATACATACATATGTATGTTTATATAAATTTAAACATTTTTCTTAAAATAAACTATTTTCTTAAACAAGTTAAAATTAAAAGCTCTTCTTTTTAATATATAACTATTAATAATTAATTAAACCCTTTTTATAATACTTTAAAATAAATTATTAAACATACAGTTTTTCCTTTCGTTAAAAAAATCTACCTTTTTAAAACAAATTAATTGCTCTTCTTAAAATCACACAGAAAAAGTACACAACACACTTTGCTGAAAGTAATATTAAAAATAAAACTCATAATTTCTATAAAATTACCCCCCCATCTCTTTATTTTTGCTTTACTTTTTGCAAAAATATCCCCCAAAAATATGCTAAAGAAAAAATAAACTACAACAACAACAATAAAGAAAAAATAACTTAAAGCCAAGAATATAAATATGTATACACAGTGTTCATAGTAAAAATTCCAACAACAAAGAAGCATAAATGTGTAATGAATGTATAAATGTAAGTGTGTGTGTGTGTGTTTAATGCCGACAAGGA